AATGGTAGGGACATGGTCTCACTACGTTGCTCAGGCTGGCCTCAAGTGATCCTCCTGCCTTGGCCTCTCAAAGTGCTGGGATTATAGGCATAAACCACACCGTACCCAGCTGTTGCATGCCTTTTAACACAACTGGGTATGGTTCCTTTCTTTAAATAACACTTGACGTCACCTTGTGGTCAGCTATCACTCCCTGGGGGCTTCTGTCTAGCCAGTTGTCCTTCCTTTCCCCTCCACCCAGCATGTTTCTGATATCACTGTCACAGCATTCTAGTGACTTTAGATGAAATTAGATAAAAATCTCTCCCAAGGCAACTTCTGTCAAACAGTCAAATTATACTGTTTCATTAAACTCAACAAAGTGCTAACATTTTTCAAAATGCCATTTTCAAAGCATTCATCTGTTCAGTACAAAATGACTTGGTGAGTTGTGGCTAACAGGGCTGCTAGACATCTAGTTCTCAGATAAGATGAATAATGTGTTTTCACAATTTTGTTTATTGCATAAACTTCAAGATTTTGAAATTCGTGTTATCTGGTTATGAGGTTATTTATTTACCCTATTCTAAGTACTTCAATTAATAAAGACATAATGCAATTTTAACTATTCTGAGTTTCCCTAAGGAAAAGCCTCCAAGAGGATGTACGTAAGAAAGTACATGTATCAAAACAGTATGCTCTGGGATAGACTAGAATGACCCAGTTTTTTTCTGTAGAGATAGTAACAATAATATCATGACCAGTGAACTATAGAAAGATTGCAAGAGAAAGTTTGTTTTTTTTCTTTTTTTTTTTTTTTGAGATGGAGTATCGCTCTGTCACCAGGCTGGAGTATAGTGGCGAAATCTCGGCTCACTGCACCTTCTGCCTCCTGAGTTCAAAGGATTCTCCTGCCTCAGCTTCCTGAGTAGCTGGGACTATAGGCACGCACCACCATGCCCAGCTAATTTCTGTGTTTTTACTAGAGATGGAGTTTCACCATATTGGCAAGGATGGTCTTGATCTCGAACTTGTGATCCATCTGCCTCAGCCTCCCAAAACGCTGGGATTACAGGCATGAGCCACTACACCCAGCCCAGCAAGTTTTAATGAGGCCAGGCGTTGAGCTCATGCTTGTAATCCCAGCTACTTGGGAGGCTGACACATGAGAATCACTTGGACCTGGGAGACGGAGGTTGCAGTGAGCTGAGATTGTGCCACTGCACTTCATTCTGGGTGATAAAGTGAGACTCTGTCTCAAAAAAAAGAAAAGAAAAAGAAAGATTTAATGAGACATCAGTAGTAGCACTTATAACACATGGGTTGAACAAAATTAACTAGCTTTCCATTTATTAAACAGTTTAAATTAATGCATATATTTATAAATATGGTTCATATAGATTCTTCTGATACAAAGAAAGCCATAATAGAAATTCTAAGTTTGCTAAGAAAAAGACTAGATATTTTCCTGATAAAAATAGGAATGACCAGTGAAAAGGAAACATGAATGTGCCATTATGGACTTTAAATACAAGCCTAAAGGTATAGATTTGTCTATAATTAGATTTTGTAGTAAGTTTCCTTTCATCAAACCTTTTTTACTTAAAAGGAATTAGGTCAGAATTTTACAAGGCTCATAAGAGTATCTGTGACAGATTTATTCAGTGTTCTACTGTTCCATGTAAAATGTGCCCTTCTGCCTTCCTACAGTTAGTGCTGAATAAGAGTGACCACAATTGCTGACTGCCATTGGCAACAAGCAATGTTTACTGGGGCTCAAATGGAGATAACATATATTTCATTCATTCATTCATTCATTCAGGGCCTGTGCTAGGTTCCAGAGTGGGAGTTGGCACAAATCCATGCTCCAGATTTTCAGACTGGTAGGGGAGGTAAGACATAACTCAAGTAACTATTAAGCAGTATTGGCAAATACCTGCTATAATTCAGAGACGGAATGTGGACAAATCTAGTTCTTACCCAAGTGTGCTTATAAGGTAAAACCGTATCTTTCAGGAGTATCTAAGTGACATTCAAAAACTTACTTGCAATTGAAAACAACAGAACTTATAAATTCTGTGGTTGTTAAGATGGCCACATCAACTCAATCTTTCAATACTGGCCTTGACTTAATTTAGAATTCTGCTTTCCTTTCTGTCCAACATAATTGTTTTCAATACCAGACTGGTAAAATATGGTCTTAACTAGGGTCAATCACATCAATTTTATGATTTAGAAGATGTATAATTTTCAAATACATTTTCCCCTGATTATAAAATTTAAAAATGCTTATTGTACAAAAAAAAGAGATTAAAAAAATTAAATTCATTCTTAATCCTCCACCCAGAGATAAAGCGGTTCATTTCATCATATTAAATAGAAAATACACAAAATCTAATGGAATGTACTATCTTATAATAAAAATTCTACCCTTAATTCAAGGAAAAAAATCTGTTCCATATGTACCCATGACCATGTTCCTGTAAAATCTCACAGATGCTAACTTGACATACAGTATCACAAAAAAAAAACAACTCCGAATGTAATGCCATGAATAAGAGGTGTAAACTAAGACTGTTCCACCAGAATGTTGTACAACTGCTAAATTATGAAGTTATACCAGAATAAAAATTTTTTAAAATTCTGGCTCAGAATACTTGCCAAAATTGTTTGAAACCCAATGTAGGATGCCAGTGTGTACAACAGTGCACAGTATTTTACTCTGTATCTAATTACTACTCTGGACAACTGGGTTTTCCAGGCAAAGCAATGTGTATAGAGAAGAGGGATTGTTGGCAGGATGGTGTAGAGCAGGGCTTTCCAAACCTTCGTTCTTAGCACTCCTAGCGTCTCAGTAATTTTTTCACGGTGTTCCAATGCCAAAGAAATAGCTAACAATCTCATTAATCACATCATTTGATTCAAACTATTTAATAACATGTGTTATATGCCCTAACAATTTAGTAGCCATTTAAAAAATACTACCCATAAGCTGAAAGACATATATTTTTATTTCATTCATAAAGAACCACAATTACTTACTGATGAGATATGTGCACTCATGCACACTACAAGACTTTAAAAATATTTGGAATCAGATTGGACAACCCCACCCTCATTTTGTGTCCCACACTAATTTTTATGTGGTACTTCTTTTTTATCACAGCAACTGCCAAAAAAATTACCTTGCAAAGATATGATGTCATCAAAAAGAATGCAGCACAATCTAATGCTAAAACTGGGAACTTCCCTGAACTAGAGGTTCAACCAGCTGACAGATGTTGAGTAACCCTGTGCTGCCCTGTGAGTTTACTGAGGTACTCCAGGGTGGCTGGCATTGGTGCAAAGGTTGGTAATTTTGAGTATAGGGCAACTTTATCCCTTTGTCCTATTATCACTGTAAAAGTGGTAAGAAATCCCAAATAAATGGCTGCCCTTGAAAGGTTTGATGCCTCCGATGTGTAAACTGCTGGTTCTTTTATTACAGAGTACAGAGATCCAAACTGGGATATGCAGTATTTCTTACATATAATGTAAACCAAAAAAACCTGCCTTCTCAAAGATTCCCATGGAACATACATGCCACTGGGCAATAGGTCCCCATGGGGAGTCACTTTCAGACTCTTATTTACTTCTACTCATACAAATGCTTGTTATAAATTATTGTTACAATCTTACAACTACCTTTATAACAAATAATCCTATAATTAAATACATAATGCAAAAGCTTGCTGAGTATTACTTGCAAATAATGTACAATATGCATCTTAGTATTTTGCTGGAAGAAAGGAAGAAGCAATAACAGAGTCTCTGGTTTATAAGCCAATGATAATCTGTCATAGCAATTTTAAAAAGATCCTATGGTAGGCAGAGTAACACCCTCTCTCCCCTAAAGACATTCAGAATAATCTCTGAAATTTGTGAATATGTTACTTTACAAGGCAAAGGGGATTAAGGTTGAAATGGGACTAAGGTTGCTAACCAGCTGGCCTTAAAATTGAGAGACTATTCCATTATCTTGTTGGGCCCAATGTAATCATAAGCATCCTTAAAAGTGGAAGTGGAAGAGGAGGAAGAAAGAGGGAGGCAGAAGGGAAGAGTTCAGAAGCAGATGCAAACATGGAAGAAAGGAACGGATAATGCAATGTGAAAAAGGCTTGACCCATTGTTGCTGGCTCTGAAGGTGGAGGACAGAGCCATAAACAAGGAATGTGGGTGACATCTAGAAGTTGGAAAGGGCAAGGAAAAAGATTCTTCCCTAAAGTCTGTTCACATTTTGATTTTAGCCCAGGGAGACTTGTGTTGAACTTCTATCCTACAGAAATGTAAGATAATAAATTTCTGTTGTTTTAAGTTGCTAAATTTGCATAACTTTTACAGCAGTGATAGAAAACTAATATAGACTCTGAATGGATGATATTAATAATGACAACAAAAACAACAGCAACTAAAAATGTTTCAGGTCCGTTAGATAAGCTAAGTAAGCTGGCTGTAATATACTTTCAACAGGTATTTCCTGTTGCCTTGTATTAATGAGGTAATGAGGTTAAGTTTTGCTTTGCATTAATGAGGTAATAAAACTAAATGTAAAATGAACCTATAGGGGCTGGTTCAAAGAATTTTACTGAAGTATACCATAGTTTTTTGCCTTTCTTAATTTTTATTATTGCTTAACAGTGATATAGTGACTATAACCAATATAAAAATCTTTGTATTATGTTCTGATAGTAATTTTAAACAAATATAAGCATTTCCATGCCCTATGTGTTAAGGCTAAATAAATATTATACTTCTTTTCCATATGAAAAATACCAATTAAAATATTTTTAGTTATTTCTTGGACTCTTTAGATAAGATGATGCTTTGATGACTGGACAAGAGAAACTTTTCTGTATATTTAACAACTACTTACAGAAAGCAAGAAGTCCTACTGTCAAGAGTTATGTACACTTCTGCGAACTGAAAATATTTATTCAAAGTTCAAAAATAGCCTATGTTCACCTGTAGTTAAAGGTAGGTGTGTGATGCTGTTCAAACAGGTCAGGGTGAACCACGTGGATGACAGTGTAGCTCCAGAAAACAGGAGGAGAAGAATTAGTTTCAGCATACCTCTGATAAAATCTGCAAACCTAAAAAAAAAATGTTCTATTAATTCTAGTGGGATTTAAAAATACTATTTAAATAAATGACACAATTTCATTAACAATTACTCGAGGAATTTTCCATGTATCTTTTTAAAAGACAGGTTTTTGTGTTTTTTGTAACAAATCTTATATGATAGTACTTTGTGATAATTTTTTCTCTCTTATAAACCACAAAAAATGGCATCTTTGTTCAGGATCTATAACTTATAGGACATATTCTGAGTGTTTACTTTTTTTTTTTTTTTTTTTGAGACAGGATCTCACCATTTCCCAGCTGAAGTACAGTGATGTGATCATGGCTCACTGCTGCCTCAACTTCCCAGGCTCAGGCAATCCTCCAACCTCAGCCTCCCAAGTGCTGATATTACAGACATGAGCCACCATGCCTGGCAGATTCTGAGTTTTTAAGTGCCACTGTCATTTTCTTTATATTTTTCTATACCTTCCCAACATTCTATAATGAACATATATTATCCTAGTTTTGAAAATTAGGCTAACTTGTTGGCATAAACTTGCAAAGATCTCTCTCAAAATTCAAACTCACTTACAGAACAAACACAGATGCCTACACCAGAGCCTTTGAGATCCTATGTGACCTGCTGCCTGCCCCTGCTCTCTCTTTTCCTACTATTCTCCAGTTGGATGGCCATGCTGCTGTTTCTCATACAGCAATATGTAGCTTCCGTACTTGTTCCATCTGCCTGAAATGCTGGTACCACTTGGATCTTCACATATCTTACTCCTGTTTACCCCTTAGGTCGTTCACGTCTCAGTTCAACAAGGCCCTCTGTACTCAATGTAGAAGTCTTTCCCCATCCCATTTCCACTTTCTCTATTGGAAATTGTCTAGTTTTTGCATTTATTTTTTGTCCTGTCCTATCAGACTGTAAACTTCCTGAGAACAAAACACATAGCATCTGGAATAGTGAATATTATTTTTCTAAGTTTGGGACTTTTATAGCATTTTAAATTTTCATGTTTGAGTTTTCATGAAACTAAAGGGCATCTGGTAGAGATGCTTATCATTCAGTTATGCCACAAAAATTTTCCACTTGCCAGCTGCTTTTCCTCACCTGTGGATTAACTGTTGATTGTACAGGCACAATCCTCTGGCTGTGCCTGTACACAGTTTATTCTGTCCTTCAGAATTGTTCCTGTTATAGAATAGCTGATCCCATCTCAAATATGACATTTACTATATTCTCTCCACTTTGAATTTTCTAAAGTCGATTTTAATTTTGATTGTAATTATATGACTGTCCTTAAAACTCTGAATACTATCTTCTGTTTTGTCCTTATTTGACATGATAGGGTTAATCATGTTTGTGTTGCCTAGAATAAAATGACTTCCTATGAGAGCTGATGCCATCTTTTGGTGGGAAAAATGAATGCACTTTTGCCCAGTGACTTAAATTTGTCCTCAAGCAGAAAATTCTTACGTATGGTGAAAAAGTTTCTACAGCTTTACAGAATGTCCCTCAAGAAAACACAAAAGGTGGCTCACGCCTGTAATCCCAGCACTTTCGGAGGCCAAGGCGGGTGGATCATGAGGTCAAGAGATCGAGACCATGCTGGTCAACATGGTGAAACCCCCTCTCTACTAAAAATACAAAAAATTAGCTGGGCATGGTGGCACGTGCCTGTAATCCCAGCTACTCGGGAGGTTGAGGCAGGAGAATTGCCTGAACCCAGGAGGCGGAGGTTGCGGTGAGCCGAGATCGCGCCATTGCACTCCAGCCTGGGTAACAAGAGGGAAACTCTTTTTCAAAAAAAAAAAAAAAAAGACTGGTTTAATCTCATACTTACCAGTTTTCCAATTTACATTTTGATATGCTGCATAAACTTATTTGTCAGATAGCGATGACAAGGTATAAACAGCTTTTTGGTACAAATCAGAGTTGAATTGCAAGAAAGTTTCACAGAAGCTGATTACGCAAGAATAAATCGACAACTGTAGTCTGCTATTTTTAGAGACTCAGTCCTTTCGAATAGGCTGATACCATCGAAGTGGATTATTAGAACCAAGAAGTACCTTTAATAGTGGTCTTTAAGAACATAATTACAAAATATCACCCAAAGCACTCGTGTCTACAAGGAAACTGTGTTCTAGGGAATCCCATAAAATGGCGTCATGAAAGTAATTTTAAAGTTGATTTTAGGGCTAGGAGATAACTAAAATTGATTTCAGATCCCAAAGTAAGGGTAGTATTTTTTAGAACTTCCATTTCAACAAATTAAAAGCAGAAACGTTATCATTCTAACTTTTCCCTTTAGATCAATCGACCTATCTATCTATCTATTGATCAATCGTTAAAATTAAGTGGTATAGAAGGAAAATAATGAGAAAGGTGCATGTGAGACATCATTTTTGATACACAATGGTTCCCTCTTTGACCAATTTGGTGTTCAGAATAGGATGTGATCAATGATGACTCATTATAATTGGCTTGGAGATTTAGCTAGAAAAATGAGGTATGATTTTTTCAAAATAAGACAAATATATTTTTAGTATCAGTGATTTCCAACAAATGCTGTTTTCCCATTCTCCTTCTTTAGCTTTTAGTTTTCTTATATTTTCCTAACTTAAAACTTCAAATAAAGTGATTTAGAAATTACAGTGTCGATTTATTCTTTCAGTACCCCAGAAACACAACACAAACCATAAGATCTAGGTATAACATTATCCTGTATCAATTATGTTCAAGTATTTAGATATTGATGTGCTATATGGATCTTATTTGATCTTCCCAAATATGTAATTAGATTCTCCTCTTCACGGTAAAGTTGATTGCCTAATTTTTTTTTTTTTTTTAAGCCAGGGGAAAGCACGAACGCAGTTCCCCACTACCACAAATTATGCAGTCAAATTTCCCACATTTGGGGAAATCGCAGGGGTCAGCTCATCCGGAGTGCAATGGATAAGGCTCGCCCTGGGAAAACCACCTTCGTGATCATGGTATCTTCCCTGCCAGGTAAGTATCTAATTTTGTTTTTGATTAAGCAGAGTAAAACAATTTGGGAAGTGAATGAATATTATCTCTATGGAAACTCCAAGAATTATAGGAAGTTGCCTAAAAGAGTAACATTTTCATTCTCTTCCTTTTTTTAGAATAAATGGGACCTTTTTCCTTCTTCTGACTTGTTCTAACAATGTGTTATTGTAATAGGTTATGATCAAAGAGAGTGTGATGAGACTGAAAGTCTTCACAGACATTTTTCATCAAAAAGGGATAACCACAGGAAGATACCTTCCAAAAAAGACCATAAATAAATAATATCTGTTAATCAGGACACTGTCTGTTCATGGAAAGTTCTAGAGATGCTTTTACAAATGATTTCTTTTGTAAATGATAGTTTCCATGGCTATTAATTATTGCATTACCTTTTTGGGGCTCCATTTGTAGATGTCGTTCTCTAATAGCATGGAGAGAGACAGCTTAATTACACTGGAAATACATTTCCAGTCTCCAAAAAACACTCGAGGAAGAGACTACTCCTGAGTCACTTTCTTGTAGTAGCAAATTGTATTTTTTTTTTTTTTTCTTTTGAGAGATTCTCATTCTGTCACCCAGACTGGAAAGCAGTGGTATGATCATGGCTCACTGCAACCTGTGCCTCCTGGGTTCATGCAATTCTCCTGCCTCAGCCTCCAGAGTAGCTGGGACTACAGGTGCTCATCACCATGCCCAGCTAATTTTGTATTTTTAGCAGAGACAGGGTTTTGCCATGTTGGCTAGGCTGGTCTTGAACTCCTGACCTCAGGGGATCCACCTACCTCAGTCTCCCAAAGTGCTAGGATTATAGGCGTGAGCTACTGAGCCCGGCCTACAGCAGTAAATTTTATATAATGCATGTGAATTTTCTTATAGTCTGAACAAGTAACCTTTCTGAGCTTTGCTTGTTTTACTTTTCCCTGAATTGTAATGTTTATTTAGGGGAGCCTATTTGTCTTTAGGTTTCCGCCCCCCCACCTCTGTCCACTCACAAGTTTAACCAAATATTCTCACCTTGCCATAGCTATTCCAACAACACAGCCTCCAACTATGGACCAAAATCCAATCCAGCCAGCATCTACCTGTTAAGAAAGCAGCAGACACATTTAATCAAGATGATCATATTGTAATATAAAATGAAAAAAAAGTCCTCTATAATCAATGTTAATAATTAAATGGATAAAAACAAAAGCATTCATGTGTAACTAATGAATACAAACATCTAAGAAAATATGTCCTTGATTAACTTTTTATTGGAATATTGAAGTCAACAAAATAATGAGTATCATCAAACAAATACTTTCCAAGTATGTACTACATGCCTAATATTGGACTGGGAACTCTTAAGAAAATAAAGGGATGGAAGATAGTCACAGCCTCAAAAAGTTTAAATAGAACCAACATAGGAAACTGCTAGGTAGTAATTAGATGCTAAAACGTGGGGCAACAACTAAAAATGTATCATGAGGTGGAAGGCAGGGGGAAATGTGGGGCTGAGCAAGAGAGTAAATAGATAAAGAGAAGTCGGGCTGGGTTTCAAACATATATAGCTTGTTCCTCTCTTGAGAAAACATTTCCAGCCCTGCCATTTACTGTGTGACTCTGGGCAAACTATGTCTGTTTACCTATAAAATGGATTAAATGAGATAATTTGTATATAGTACCCAGATCAGTGGCCAGCACACAGGAAGTACTCAATAAACATTCGTTGTTATTATTACTAACTGATGAGGCTTCTCCATCTATCTTGTCTCTTTCCTGCCTGTGTGGCCACACTTTTTCACAGCAATCTACAAATGCTGCCTACGTTTCCTCATCACTCCTGTGTCTAACTTTTATTATGACTTGGCTTCTGTCCCAACTCATACTCTAGGTCTAAGTTCCTGCATTAGTGGAATGGGGATAATAAAGTTTTTCTGAGGGTTAGATAAATTAATAAATGTAAAGTGCTCAATACATGCTAGTTGTTATGAATGAAATTTCAAGTCTCTAATAATACTGGTACATCTTGTCCCTTCTTTCTCCTTCCCATCACCATCATGCTTGATTTTATTATCTTCTTACTTCTTGACCCCCGAAAGAGCTTCTTAAATGGTCTTCACAATCTATTTTGTTCACTGTTGCCAAAATAATTATCCCAATCATTCTGTGTCCCTGCTTGGAAATAGTTACTGGTTTTCCCTGTGGTTACAGGACAAAGTCCAAACTTGACCTGCCACTTGAGCACTGTCCAAACTAACTTTTACCTTTTATTGTTTTTCGAGTCATACTTTTCATTACACTTGTGACAAGGATTGCCAGCTGTCTACCAAATGATTTCTTCTTCTAGCTGGGTACTTAGCTAAATTACATGTCCCAGTTCCTAGCTGGAATGGGTGATCATGTGTCAGTTCTCATTAATGGAAGTGAGCATAAGTGAAGCGTGCCACCTCCAGGTTAGAACTTGGAAGAAGGTATATGCCTCCTCTATGCTTTCTCTTCTTTCCTGCCAGCTGTAATCTGGATGTGGCTGCCCAGCTGCCCAGCTGCCACATCCAGATGGCAGGAAGGGAGAGAAAGCATAATGACAAGTTCCTAGGAAACAGAAAAGATACAAGTGAAAGCAGCCTAGGTATCTTAAATCAATGTGAGGAAAGGAGCTGCCCAAACTGTGGACAACTGTCCCAGATTATGCATGCTGTCCCAGGTTGCAATGTGAATGACAACCTTTTCTTAAGTCTCAGAATTTTGGAGGTCTACTTCTCCCAGGAGCTTAGCCTACTCTAAGCAATAATGTAACTTTATATGAGTCTTTTGCTCTACTGGTGTTTGCTGCTAGAAGCAAACATGAATGCTCTCAGAAGAAAGATAACATCCTGAAGTTTAAATTATCTCTATAGTTTTTCATACTATTGGCATTTGAGGCAAAAGAATTCTGTGTTCTGCAGAACTACTCCTTTCATTGCAGCACATTTGGTATTTATAATTCAAGGCCCACTAGGCTCCCACAAACATTTCCTTCTATCCTCTAGGTAAGTGGGGTCATGCTCTAGGTTAAGGACTGCTCCACATCTGGCTGTACTGATGCTGGTACTTTCAGAACATTTTGTGCTTTTCTGCTTCCTTTGTTCACAACATTTCCCTTAGTTAATAAAATTCCACCCAAAACTTAATTTAAAAATCAAAAAAATTTGCTTTCATTTAATTTTAAATTCCACTTTATTTAATAACTGATATGATTCAGGGTCTCTATATCTCTCAGTGTTTGTACAGCGAAAGATACTTGGAAGGACTTCTTAGGGTTTACAACAGGAAGCAAAGATCTGCCAAATCAGTATCATTTTGTGTGTGTGCACGATGTGGTCTTACTCTGTCACCTAGTCGGGAGTGCAGTGGTGCGATCTTGGCTCACTGCAGCCTCTGCCTCCTGGGCTGAAGTGATCCTCCCACCTCAGACTCCCAAGTAGCTGGGATTACAGGTGTGTGCTACTGCATTCAGCTAATTTTTTGTATTTTTGGTGGAGACAGGGTTTCGCCAGGTTGCCAAGGCTGGTCTTGAATTCCTCAGCTCAAGTGATCCACCTGCCTCACACGCCCAAAGTGCTGGGATAACAGGTGTGAGCCACCATGCCCAGCTGAAATCAGTATGATTTAAATGGGTGCTACAATTTTCCTTAACAGAACTGAGCATAGTTGGAATACCTGCTATCCAGAAAAACAGGTCAGAAAACTAAAGGCTTTCTTCTTACGGCAAAGGTGCTGCTATGGTCTGAATGTTGGTGTCCCCCTGAAATTCATATGTTGGAACTTAAGCCCTAATGTGATCATATTAAGAGGTGGGGCCTTTAGAAGGTAGTTAAGGGATTAGTGCTCTTATATAAGAAGTTGAAGGTAGCTGCCTTGCCCCTTTGCCACATGGAGGCAGAGACTAAGCCCTCACCAGATATAAATTAGTTGGCACCAGGATCTTGGACTTTCTAGCCTCCAGAACTGCAAGAAATAAATTTCTAGGATTTATAAATTAACCAGTCTAAAATATTTTGTTGTGGAAGTCTAAAGTATTTTGTTGTGGAAGTCCAAACAGACTAAGACACATACACTAGGTAATTTAGATTAGTATTCTGGTTGAGAACTAGAAAATCTGGGGGAAATTTTATCTGAAGCCATCAGACAGCCAAGTAAATAATTCAGAATTCTTAAACCATGATCTAGGATGGGAAGATAATCTGAAGAGATGAGCATGGTATTTGGAGGCAATTTTCCTTTAGGGTTGTCTGCTAATTTCAGATAAGGTGGCTAAAGGACTGAGAAATTATTGACAGCCTAACTGACCTAGGAGAAAAAAATATGAGTTTAGGGCCTGCTGTGGGGTGGCCCTGTAAAAACCCCAGGTTTTAAGTGGGCACTCTGAAGGCCTCTACCTAAGAGTAGGAGGAGCTAGAAATGGAACAGCCTCCTGAGGGACTAAAGCCCAGCTTTAAGTGATCTCAAGATCTGAAACTAGTTCAAGGTGATTCCTAGAATCCTGCCAGAAAAAAATACAATACCCTCTGAAGGAAAACATCATCTTGATACTTAAATTATCTCCACAGCTTTTTATGTATTATGTCTAGCACTCAGTCAAAAATAACTGAATGCATAGAGATTTTTTTTAATTACCAAATATCAAACATATAAATAGACCTACAAGGGACCAAGATAATAGAATTATGAGATACAAACTTAAAATAACTATTTTTAATAGAGAAAAAAAAATAAGATCAAGCATTTCTACTGAAATATGTCTACTATAAAAAAGAACCAAAGACAGGCCAGGCATGGTGGCTCATGCCTGTAATCCCAGCACTTTGGGAGGCCGAGGCAGGTGGATCACCTGAGATCAGGAGTTCGAGACCAGCCTGGCCAACATGGCAAAACCCCATCTTCACTAACACAAAAACGAGCTGGGTGTGGCAGCACACACCTGTAGTCTCAGCTACTGGCGGGGCTGAGGCAGGAGAATTGCTTGAATCTGGGAGGCAGAGGTTACGTAAGTTCAGATCACACTGCTGCACTCCAACCTGGGCAACAGAACAAAATTCCATCTCAAAAAAATAAATAAAAGGAACCAAAGACAAATTTTATAAAACTTAAAATAACTCATAGATCAATTTAATAGCATATCTGACAGAGTTGAAAACTGAAATATTGAGGTGAAAGAAAAGCTAGATAAAATATCCAGTCTGAGGCATAGAAAGGAAAAAGGATATGTCATAACAAAAAAAGTGGGTGGGAGAAAAAAAGAAAGACAAAATAATGGGAAATTCCAAACACACAGTAAGGAGACATAGTAAGGAGACACAGAGAATACAGTGTAAAGGTATCATGTATACATCATTAGAATACCCAAAAGAAATTAGAGAAAACAGAGCACAAGTTTTGAAAAGACACTGACTAGAAATTTTCAGAAATGAATGAGACATCAAGCTAACAAGACAACAATTAATATCTTCTATAAACCTCAAGTAGAATACATTTAGAGAAAGAATGCCACCTAGTTATATATCAAAGCAAAACTGCTGAAACCAATAATAAACAGAAAATCTTAAAAGCAGCCAGCTTTTAAATTTGAGAGCTGACTTCTCAATTGAGATAATGGAAGCCAGAAGAAAAGGAAATTATTTTTTTCAAAGAACCAAAAGAAAATGACTGTTAACCAATGATGCTATGCCCAACAACAAAAAAACTTCAAAAATAAAGACAAAATGACTTTTAAAAAATTTATTTATTTTTTTTTTAATTACATTTTAGGTTTGGGGGTACATGTGAAGAACATGCAAGATTGTTGCATAGGTACATACATGGCAGTGTGAATTGCTGCCTTCCTCCCCTTCACCTATATCTGGCATTTCTCCCCATGCCATCTCTCCCCAACTCCCCACCCCCCACCGTCACTCCCCCATTTCCCCCCAACAGACCCCTGGAACCAACCCAAATGCCATAAAAAATGAAGACTTTTTAGAGCAAAACAAAAAGTAAAACAAAAAAGCAAACCCCAAACTAGAGAATTTGTCCCTGCAGATCTGCACAATAAACACACAAAAACATAAATGGGTGCTCTTTA